AAAAGTATTTATATACTTCACTATGCAAGCGTTTCATGACAAAGTTAACATCTGTAGCCCTTAAAAGAAGATAAAGCTTATTCACATTTGGCTGAAGCCTTAATATCTTTTCAACAAAGACTAAAACCAGAGTTAAGAACTTCTTTAATATAGTAAACCGCATTTGTTTTAAGTTAAAAGTAGGAAAACAACCAAAATAGCCCACTAAAGAAATATATTAAGATGTATATTTTCTTGTTTAGCCCAAACAAGGCTAGATAATGAAGGTTCTATATATGGGGTAGAAAATTACACTCCTTGAACCAATAACTTCAAATAAATAGAGCAATAATAAACATATGGAATACTTACCAACAATTAGGTTATCAATAGTTCTGCAACAAATGAAGTAAATTAGAGAATTTTGAATATCAAAGACTATTCTTTTGTTTCACTACAATTCCCCCTTGCCTTCAATCCAACCCGGAAAGGGTTCTTTGATGGAAGATTGATCTATTAATTAAGTCTAATCACTACAAGAAAACTAGTTTTTTCCGACATAAAAAATTTCGTTGAAAATTTTCAACGAAATTCCAACAGAAATTTCCAACGAATTCCAACGGAAATTTATTTCAACTTTTTTCTACGGATTTCCGATAGATTTCTAACGAAATTTTTTCAATGAAATTTTTTGTTGAAAACCTGTCAGAAATTTTTTTGGGGTAAAAAAAAATTTACTCTTCTAAACTTTCAAACGGAATTTCCATCAGATTTCCGTTGGAAAATTCCAATAGAAAATAATCCGTTGAAAATCCGTTAGAAAATTTAAGACGTAAAAAAAATTTAAACTCCATTAATTCTCCAACGAAATATTCCTTTGGATAATTTCGTTAGTATTACTATTTTTAGAATTTTTAATGTAAAATATATCTAATTTTTTTTAAAGTTTATTAATCTTTTATAGGAAATATATTAATAAATTTAAATATAAACATATTGAGTTTTATAATATTAAACATTTAGATATTTATTCCTTTTGCTTATTATGTTTTTATATATTTTGAAAACTTTATGGAATCGTAAATTATAAATTAATAGTGTCAAATTCATTATTGTTATAAATTAAAAAGTTTTAAAAAATAACATAATAAAATTTTTAATTTTATAAAAATAGATGAGAATCATAATCATATTATTAATTTTATAAAAAATTTTATAAACATTTTATAAAAATTTTTTAATTTTAAAAATATATTATTACCATTAATAACTTTTCTAGTTATTATTTTAGTTTTTATAACATATTATTTACAATTAGTGATTAGTTATACAAACTTTGTAATATAAAATATTATAACATATAAATTGTGTCATTAATATATATAATAAAGTAATATTGTATTATGTTTTACATTGATTAATTATATTCATAAAAGATCATTCTTATATTACTTTGAGTACGTCATCTTTTACTATTAGTTT